AAGGAAGGAAGGAAGGAAGGAAGGAAGGAAGGAAGGAAGGAAGGAAGGAAGGAAGGAAGGAAGGAAGGAGGAAAGGAAAGAAAGAAAGAGAAGAGAAGAGAAGAGAAAAGAAAAGAAAAGAAAAGAAAAGAAAAGAAAAGAAAAGAAAAGAAAAGAAAAGAAAAGAAAAGAAAAGAAAAAACTCAAATATAGGTTGAGACAAAGAACACGCAGTTCTATACAACCTCAAAAAAGATTTTTAACTTTAAGTTCCCAGTTTTTGATACAGGTTCTTATGTTAGCAAAATAGCTAATTTAAGTGTCACCATAAATAATCAAAACATAAATATTTATCCACTGGCATTAAAATTTGGTCAAAGGAATAAATGAAAGAGGAGAGAAATATACACGTACACACATACACACACACATACACACACATATGTAACCATGACCTGATTGTGTGTTCAGGATACCTGTACTTCCTACAGGGGATGAAGCCCATGTCTGTTGCATTTTATGCTTTTCTTATATTTCTTACTGAGGCAAAGTAAAGGTCAAGGTAAAGGTTCCCCCACACATACGTGCTAGTCATTTCTGGTTCTAGGGGCAGTGCTCATCTCCATTTCTAAGCCAAAAAGCCAGCGCTGTCTGAAGACATCTCCGTGGTCATGTGGCCAGCATGACTAAATGCTGAAGGCACACGGAGCGCTGTTAACCTCTCACCAACGTGGTCCCTATTTTTCTACTTGCATTTTGTATGTGCTTTCCAACTGCTAGGTTGGCAGAAGCTGGGACATGAGCTTACTCCATTACACGGTGCTAGGGATTCAAACTGCTGAACTGTCGACCTTCTGATTGACAAGCTCAGCATCTTAGCCTCTGAGCCACCGTGTCCCACTGAGGCAAAGTAGCTAAATCTATAAACTTAATATTCTATAAAGTTCAAAGAGGTGGAATTTACACACTCAGTGGTTTGTACATTCATGCCTCCCTAAGAAAGACTAATTATTTTGATAGCAGGTTTGATTTGGGGGGTAGTAATGCCCCCCGAATCCCATTTGAGGCTCTTAGCATTCATAGATGGTGACAGAAAAATGATTTTTCCAACTATAAAAATGAAAGCAGAAGTTACACTTGGAGGCACTCTCATTTCCATGTAGACTTTTGTAGAACAACAATTCATCATGACATATGCTCATTGCATCAGGAGACAAATATGTATAGCTACGGTTTGCATTGTGACATAATCACACATATATAAACCATGTTTCCATCATTGTGCCTTATTATGGATATCTATACATTCCTACCTTTTCATTTCCTCAAAATAGTCAGCTGGATATATTTTTTTTAACAATGGAAAATGAGAATGGTTTAGATTGTCCCTAAACCTCAGGAAAAAATGGCGTAAATATTAGACATTTCAATAATATTACCTCTGTTTCAGTGGTGATCAATGGATTGTGTTTCAGCTCCTGTCCTTAGGATACTTACCTACTGATATTACAAGTACCTGGGACAAATTCTAACATAATTCTCTATCTCTCTGCAATGCCCTGCAAACTGCTAGTCTTTTGCAAATAGTTGTAATAATGAATCCAGCTTAGACTGTGCAATTAAAAAAGCTTAAGCAAGATTTATAGCAGGATTATATCTGCAGGGTATTGTCAATGTCTAACATTTGGACACTATGTGGTCCTTAAAAATAAGCAATTACAAGAAGCTTGATGTGCTGTATAAACATATAAACACAGACGCTTTTGCACAAAATTGGAAAATATACCTCTTCTGATTAATATAGCAGATGGAGAGAGAGGAGGAAGCCACATGCACAAATATCTATCAACAAAGCTTTTAAAGAACCAATCCTATTTGTCAAAAAATCTCTGGAAGCTGAAAAGCAATTCTGCAGGTTTTCCCAAGGTCTGTATCCATGGCTGAATTGTCATCTTTTGTATCAGCTCTATTCTGATGCTTTAAGTGGCAAACTGACCTAAAGAAATTTAGTAGACTAAGCTGTTTCTGTCAAAGAGATATTGTAAGAAAATAATTTTACCTGCTAATATGTATGCCCTTAGGCAGCTCTTAAAGACTCAAGAATAGAGATAATAAAAATAAGATAACAATTCTGTCTTATGCAGGTTATGTTTTATAACAAATTTATTCAAGTTTACATGTACAAAGATTAAAAATTTAGATTAAAAATGAATATTAACTAATAAAACTATAAAAAAGAAAAATGCAGAGAGAAAAAGGAAAAAATAAAAGGAATAGGTAAAGAAAAAAGATATATAAAGAAATGATTTCTCATTTCATCAAGACAAATGTAACTTCAATAACTTATCACTTTCTCTGATATTACAACAAAAAATCCTTTCCTACCATATCTTATCTATAAACAAATTTTAAAGCCTTATCATTCAATCATAGTCAGCAAATGCCCATTAAAAGTTAACAGGAATAACATATCTATTTTAACCTTAATCAAATAAACCTCTTTTATATTTCTTTACTTTTAAGACAATAGCTTATCACTTTCTTTAAAAATACAAAATATAGCTTCATCTTATAACTTATCTCTTATCTATGAACAAATCTTTAAAGCCTATCATTCAATCCTGATAAGAAAAATCCACTAAGAGCTAACAGAAATCACAACACATAGATTTTAACCTTGATCAAATAAGTGGACTGAAGATAGCTCCATGGAGAACAGAATCAACTATTTGATAGGACCCATCAAAAGAATCAGCTCCTTGGAATTCCTCTCCAGAACCAAGGAGAAGACCCAAGATTGTCCACTCAATGATTTTGGAAAGTTATAAACTTATAAATTGATTAAGAGTCCATATGGATTTGTAATAAGATTTTGAAATTAATTACAAGAACCCTTCTTGTGGGTTGTTTAAATTCTATAAAAATATTAAGATTTTGAAACTAACTACCCTTCCTGTGGGAAATAGTTTTTGATTAGAGGGGAAATGATAGTAGGGAACTTTGAAAGTTGGACACTAGAGGGAACCAAAAAGAATTAAAGATTATAATTAATCTTTAACTAATATAGAATGGAGCAAATTCAATGATATTTGGGAACAATGCACTCAGAAATTACTTTTAAGATTATCTGACATCGTTAAAAATGGATTTAAAAGCTATAATAGAAGAGAACAAATTGATATTGAGGCTGTTTCGAATATGGAATTAAAAATGACACCTTACAAGTATAAAATGGAAAAAGCTATACACTAAAAGAGAATATACATAGCTCAGGGTTGAACTATGGAGTGGTGTTCTCTGAACTTGGTTGCTTGCTTGCAGACATTTCATAACCCTATTAGGTAACATCTTCAGTATTAGGGAGTGTGAGGTGTGCTCCTTGTTTATATGCAGTAGCTTACTCTGCCAGTGTTGATGAGATTTGGTTTTCCGGCACACATGCCCCAAAGTAACATGGTTGGCATTTTGTATGTGCATAGGAGATCATAGGGTAGAGCAGGTTTATTATGCTTTCAGAAGAACAATAAATCTTTCTAGATTTATAAAGAGCCTGCATAAGACCTGAAAAGCATCAATCAGGTCTTATGGAATAAGAAGCCTGCAAGAAATCCAAATGTTCACTGTTTCTTCAACCCAAGTCAAACTGGCTAAGAAGGACAGTGCCCAGTAAGTAGAAGGGAAGGTGTATGTTCACACCAACCTGAAGTAACCAATAGTATCTGGCCAGAACCATCTCATCAACTGCATTATCAGTGATATACATCAGTGAAGACGGAAACATTGTTGTAAATTTGGAACAACTAAGGATGATTTTAAATTGCCTCAAACATGGGTTGGGGATGAGAGAAAGCCAAATAAAGTAGTTATTGTGACCATTTTAATATAATCACTTTTCTGTTCACAGAGCAATTAAATGTTTTAAAAAGTCAGCATGTACCCATAAAGGAGAACTTCCATTTAATAGACCATGTCCAGTTGAATTATGACAGGAAATAGAATGTATACCCAATTGTTAGACAGTCTATGGGTTATCACCATTTTAAATACCTTAAGACAGCTATGTGGTTGCATTTCAAGAAATATAAGACTTCCAAAGATTCTTCTAAGCAACCCAATTTATAACAATAACTTCCTTGTCTCCTTCATACATTATCATTTTTATTCAATATATCTAATGGGAACCAATTATTCATTCAATTAATACTTTCAACACAGTGTCTGTAAATACATTATCCTGAAGCTTTGTAATGACATACTGTGACTTCCAAGGATATAAATTTACATACCATTCTCCCTGGATTTCTGGATGAAGGCTTCTACTCCACTTTCACCATAGCTCCCTTCAGAAGCTAAAGTTGAAACATAATTCCACTTGAATGCTTTAACAATGTCTACCATAGCCTGGGCTTGGTAAGTATCAGAGGGGACAACGCGGGAAAAGAAGTCATATCTACTGTTGTCACTCAGGTCAGGGGCTGTAGAAGCATAGCTTATCTGAGGAATCTGTGAAAATAAAAGGTCAAATCACAACATTAAACAGTAGAATAAGACTTAGACATCCCTAAACCATATCCTACTTTTATAATGGATTAGAAACACTAAATAAATAGACAATGAAACTTAATAACATTTCAGAGCAAAGACAGATAGATTAACAACTATGTTGGATTTAAGGAGTTCCCTATATTCCACCAGATTTAAGTCATAATTTGTTGTCACAACATCTGACAACATCAATCACTCCCTGATACTGAGGAAGAAGATTAGACCAGGAATAAGCAACCCAGCACCATCTATACATGCTAGACTACAATATTTACAGTACAATCCACTCCCATTTGTCCAATTAGCTGAAATAAATGAGAGCCAATATTTATTTATTTATGGAATTTATACCTATTCACTCAAGGCAACTCAAGGAGGCTTACAGAATGTAAATCCATATTTAAAACAAAACAAAAACAACAAAAAAACTAACAAAAAGTACAGTAGAACAAAATCTGGGGGAAAAATAAATAAAAAAATCACACACACACCCAAACCCCCACCCCCCCCACACATACCCTGATGACAGCAGATTACACAAGCTCCATCCCGCTTTGGGTTCCCCAGGCCCGCTGGCAGAACCAGGTCTTCAGTGCTTTCTGGAAGAGTATTAGAGAGGGGCCCATTCTAATCTCTGGGGGAATGGTGTTCCAGAAGGCCACCATGGAGAAGGCCCTTCTTCTGGGTCCCACCAGGTATATCTCTCTCAGGGATGGGACCTGCAGCATTCCCTACCTCCTCGCTCTAATGGGTCAGGTAGATGTGACCAGCAAGAGATGGTCCCTCAGATATCCTAAGGATGAATTGGGCTTTTTTTTCCCCCTTCAGTTGAATTTCTTCTTTTTAAGGTGCATACATCGGGTTTTTGTATGTTTGTAGGTAGAAAAGACTAACCAATTTCTGGAGGTTCAATCAAAAGGGGCTCCATGGGCTGCATAAAATGAGAGGTTTGGAACCTGCATGTGGCCTGGGTCTCCAGATGCCTCTTTTATAAAAGTCAACTGGCAGATAACCAGTTCCCACTTGCATGAATGCCACTTTAGATATCCTTCTCTGTCCCTCATGTTATTATGGCTGTTAATAAGGATACTGGAAGGCTTCATTGATTATCACTCAGTAGCTGCAGCCTCTTCCAGATTCTGCATTTTTATAAGTCAGCTCTGGTACCAATTACAGTGGTTAGAAAAGTTTGCTGACAGTGGTTAGAAAAGTTTTTAAAGCTCGGTAAAGAGAGCATTTTTTCCCATTGTCCCTTTATTACAGACCAGAAATCTACCCCAATTTATGATGGGAGTAACTAGACAATTGTTTTGCTGTCACAAAAATTAGAAACCGTGCCCTCTGAGTTTCAACTTTAGAAACTCTGATTTGTTGATCTCAGCAGTGAGATCAACTTAGCCCACTGTCTTGACTATTTTTTGCTTGTTTATTTTGCCGTTGACATTTTTTTTCCAAAGAGGCAGAAGGGAATCATGACGTTTCTACATATACAATCTCTACTTCTATATTGACCTACATTAAAGGAAACTCAGACTAATATTAGCTTCCTTTTAGTTTCTAAAAGTCTTATTGATTTGAAATAACTATCTGATATTTCTTATTCAAGCTTCTGAACAAAAAAAAAAAAAAAACCCAAAATATAACTTGACGTTTTCAATCTGAGATCCTCTTAATTGCTACCATTGAGCGGTTTGTACTTTAATTCTCATATCAAAAAACTTGCCCACCACTAAATATTTATTGCCATTATATGTTTTTTTTTATCAAACACTGTCTCAGAAAAAATTACGTACTAAATAGTATCTAATATTAATATAATAACATTTCCATAATCAAATATTATCAAATATGATATAGCAATGGGCATCTTTCAAAGAACTCTGAGTTCTTTGCAAGCTATTGAGAATCCCTCCCCACCCATACACACACACTTTTTTTCCCTTAGAGGTGGAGTTCTTACATCCCTCACTACTAATATCCTATGCCAATACATAGCAACATCTAAGTGTAAGGTGTGTTCCAGGGCATTCTGAATGCACAACTGAAAATGTTGTGCCTAAAATTGTGCCTGTAAGAATTGGAGTCATCCCATAAAATACATCCTGGAATCTTTTGTGGAGATGTAGCAGTATGAAACATGAGGAGATAAAGAGCATAATATAGGTTTTCCAAATATTTTTAAATATTAAGAATCACTGAATGTCAATTCAGTGCATCAGCTGTCTGCTACTGCAAAATACCAACAAATAGTCAACTGTTGAAAACCAAATATAATTGAATGTCAGATATGCAGAAAGCCTAAAGAAATTTTCAGCTGGGAACAAAATCCGAAGAATATTTACCATCAAAATTCACAGGGAGAACTTTGAAAGAAATTTTTAGGAAAAAGCCCTGAGTTTGTATGAATTTGTATACCTAGAGACCACATAGTTAATTAATTATGAAGCATAATAAAATTTATAACCAAGACTTCATTTCCATAGCAGTTATTCCAACATACATTATTATTGACAATATTTAGATTGATGCTCCAACCTAAATCTTTATATTTCTGAGTAGGTAATATCTTTTTTCATTGACTGAGATAGATCACTCCTATTTCATTTTACTCATGGAGAACCAAAGTTATTGCTTAAGCAATTAACCCCAAATTATCAAATGACCTTCAAAATCCAGACTAAGGGTCATTGCAAGAAATCCTCAGGTTATGTCCATTCATTCAGCAACCATTCAAAGTTACAAGGATACTGACTAAGGTAGACTTAAAACCAGCCCTTAGAATCTCAGCCATTGCAGCACCCCTGCAATAAAGTGATCAAAATCTGGGTATTTGTTGCCCAGCTTACAATTATGACATTGCTGTGGTCATGTAACTAGGATTTCCAATATTCCCTAATGGTTTCCCATCAATGAGGAAGCCAGGAGGACACAAAAATCATGGTCATATGACATCTTCACTTAACAATCCATGTGGTCTTCACTTAACGATGGCAACCAGAACTGCCTTTACTAAGCAATATTGTCACATGATATTACACTTTATGACCATGTTGATTAGAAATGACAACTCTAGTCCCAATTGCCAAAGTCTACCTGTATTATAATTGGTCAATCATACCATTGAATATAATTAATTTAGATTAACTCGGTTAGCAAAATCGTACTAAGTTATGGCTGGCCAGTGTTTATGTTAAGCAAGATAGGTAGTTGGCATTTCTCAATGGGATATTTTGGAAATGATTGGAGATCTTTCTTCAGTATTCTGAATAGCAAAACTATTCAAAACAAAAATATTCTAAAAATTGGTGTTTAACAGATAATACAATGGGTTGTGAGTGAAGAGAGTGTTAATGTTATGTCAGTGCTGCTGTACATAGATATGTACTTGTAGAACAGAACAAGTTGAATCAATTATATCACACATCACTTACTATACAGTCCAGTTTATGAAAATATCATGCTTGAAACAGTTAATTTTCATACTTGTTGGTTTTAAGGAAGTTTTTGAAATAATTGAATGGGCTTCGTTCTATTAATGCACAAAACTAACGATCAAATTTTAACCTGCTGGGAGACAACCAAGAAATCCCAGGTGTATAGGAAACAAAATCCTAATAGAAGGCTATTACAGATCATTTCAATATTGTTGTTAAGAAAAATTATGTGATTATATCTGTGAAGTCACCAGGAGCAGAACTTAACTTGAGGAAGTCTTTAGGTATTAATTATGTGAAAAACAGTAAAATTCATCTTAACAAAATGGCAGAGAACAACAATAACAATAAATACAATGAAATTAAGATAGGAGAAACACTGTTATTTGTTCTCCTATCCCAGTTTGGGTCTAGTTGCATTTGTGCTGGTTTATGACCACAATAAATCTTTGATTAAAGTACAAAAACTTTTGAATATCACCAATCATCATCTAGATAATGGCACAGCAAATCCAGATAATATTGTCACCAAACATGTGCTACCATATGTTCAGAAAATACATAACTGAAAGGGGAAGAGTGAATTTAAAAAGGCTCTGAGAAGATGAAGACCGAACATCGCATGAAGAAACTGGATGAGGAAGCGCTCTTGAAGAAGATGAGCTCTAGCAACACCCCGCCGTACATTGTGCTCAGTGGCAGTGGGAAGAGCATGAACGCAAACACCATCATGAAGTGAAGCACCAGCTTCCTGTCACCGGTGGGAATGCTTTGGATGCAGTTCTTCTTGCAGGATGCACAAGGACCATCTCCATCCCTTGCTTCTGGTGGGAATCTTGTTCACGGGGCCTGTGCTCACCAATCTTCTATGTATATAGTTGTGGGGCTGAGTTTTTAAGCAACTTTTTGTATCACTGTGTGAAACCAAATTGCTGTAATAAAAATAAGCCAAGACCACAAAAAAAAAACCCAAAAAACAGCCAACATAACAGGAATAGAGGGAAAAGTCTAAGTGTTTCCACAAAAAGTGAAAATGAAAAAGAGCTGGGCCAACCAAGTAGAGGAGAAGTCAGGGCAACATCAGTTTCTTACATCTCTTGTTCAGTACTCACAAGAGATATTGGTTTGCCAGGTGAAAATGACATAAAAGGGCAGCCTAATAAAAGAGGAAAGCAGTGATGGCAATGGAACCATAGATCAGAACAGATGACACTGGCCTACCCAGTTGCGTGGGGAAGACTTACATTTCTCCACTAGCAACTTATAACATTCTTTCAAGTCAACCAATCATTGCTGTGTCCAAAATAACAGTAATGAAGACAGCCTTTATATCACTTCAGCAATGGCTTGGTGCTGAAGTGATATAAAGAAATTTTTATCTAGGGAAACCTACAAGCTTTCAGTGGGGAAATGTCTTAGCCTAAAGCTTGCTGAAGCACAGTCTTGGAATGGAAGCGCAGTACAGTATTAAAAGCTCTTATCAATGAAGCGGTAAATAGCTCTCTTAAATTAATTACAATTGTCTCACACTGAATTGTGAATTAGAGTGATTTAGCACCAGAGGGGGTTTACGTCACTTAACATTTATAGTGCACTTTACATTGGCAGTATGTTCGGCAGGCATTCATAAATCTCAGTGATGAAGATTACTGAAAAGACTTATTCAGTCACTATAACTTCCCTCTTGGATGCTATGGAAGGTAACAACATCCCTGAAACAACATCCCTGTCTCACCTCATATTCTTCTATTTTTATGATATATTTTCCATTCAAGAAGATGATTATGGTTCTTCATGGAATGTTCTACAATGTGTCAGCCAATGGTCCAAATATAACCAGTTATAAGCCAAACATAAATGAAGTAAGGAGTCCCCAGACCAAATGCAGAATATCTCAATGTTTGAAACAAATTGCAGAATACAAGTGACCAATCAAAGAAAGAGAGCTAAAAGGGTATTAAGTGCAGATTCTAAAATGATTTGGTCATATTTCAGTCTTTCCTAGGGAAATAAAGTAATAAATTAAGTTTATATTTTAAGCAAAAGATTTGAAGAATACTCTCCAACAGAACCTCTTTTATCCTGAAATATAAACAGGACATTCTCTCTGCAAAAGATAAAATGTAGAGGTCACAACAGTTTCTAAAAAATAGAGGACACTAAGGCTCACCATTTTCCTTTGTTTTGTTTATAAAATGCAACTGTAAAGATTGCAATCTGAAATGGAAGCGTATACTTAACCCTTTCACCTCAAGCTGTTTTCTATTAGAAACCTGTTTGGGGGAAAATAGAACTACACATATATTTTCTTTTGCAAGAAGAAAAGTAGCTGATGGTAATATCCCCATTACACCATTCTTCCACTTCACATGGCAGTCTTTGTGATTACAAAACCCCAATTATAAGAAAAATGTGACATGTGACTTAGATATAAAGGAAATAAAATCTATAGCCATAAGCGCTATTCTCCTTTGGTGTCTGCAGCAATGTTCATATTTTTTTTTAACAACCTCCCATTCTTCTGAGTTAATGAAGACTGTTTGCAGATAAGTGGGACACAAATAAACTAGCAGAGGCTGTGCCTTACTTGATCAATATTTGTAAACCATGCCAAAGAAGCAGCCCATTGAGAGGAAGAATGACATACAAGTGAGAGTAGATGATGATGATGACAGCATCCATTCAGTCATGTCTGACTCTTGGCAATTCTCCACATCTAGTTGTTCTATACTCTGGCTTGTCAACTTTGATGGTGTCCAGACACCATGTTCTTTGGAGACCTGGTTCCAAACAAACTCTTCCAAACATAATTGATTTCTCTAGTGAATTCTCCTTCATGACATAGCCAAAATAAGTGAGGTGCTATTTTGTTATTTTTCTTTCCAGTGACATGTTTGGTGTTATGCGCTCCAGTGGAAAAAGAGATTTGCCTCATGACAGTACTGTGTTAGGTTGAGCTCAAAGTTATTTTCTCATAGCCATGGTACCAGCCCCAGATAATTATACTTTCTTTTGATTATGTTTATTTATATAAGACTTGACTGTTGCTTGAAATGTTATAGTAACTAGCTCTAATGAGACCATACACAATGTATCTCAGTCTCTACATTTTGAAAATAGCAAGCACAAAGGCACCTTCGAGATTGTTGTCAGGTGCATCAAATAAGCTGCAAAGGAAGCCTTGCGTGTTGTGTGGCACTGGTTGATTGGATGCTGCCTGGCACCCTGAATCTAAGGAAGAAACCCTTTTCCATTCTTGGACAACATCCAAGAACAGCTAGAATCTGTACAGAAGCCCACACTATTTTTAAAAGGAGTGAGACACTAAAGCCTAATGTTTTCTTGTATGTTACATCATCTTTGAAAGCTGAATAAGAGCGGTTTGAATTATAAACAGTGAAAAGAAAGCATCAAAGAAACTGCAGGGCCAGAAGAGAGGAATATTGGCTCTGTCTTGTACAAGTGGCAAAATCCATCCATGGTCTTGCCATGTTAGATGCTCAGGATAAGGAAAAAAATAGAGGTATTTGGCCATTGGCTTTTCTCCATCTTAGCTCCTTCCTCTCTGCAGTAGTTTTCTCTAACTATATGGCTACTTCATAGGCATTGAAAAGAGGGGGAAGAAGCAGAAGATAAAATCCATGTGACTGGCTAATAGAGAAGCAGAAAAATGAGCACAATTTTTATTTTATTTTTATTTATTTATTTATTTGATTTGCCAATTGTTTACAAGATAATAAGTATAAGTGTATACATAGTTGTGAATACATGAAATGGGTACATATAAGAAAAATAAAAGAGGAATAAGAGAAACAATAGGACAGGGACGGTAGGCACGTTGGTGCACTTATGCACGCCCCCTACAGACCTTTTAGGAAAGGGGTGAGGTCAATAGTATACAGTCTAAGGTTAAAGTTTTTGGGGTTTGGGGAAGAAACTACAATGTGCACAGGATATGATCAAAACAGTCAAGATGTCAGCTTTGACAGTGTGGCTGAAAGTTCTGCCTATTTTATATTTGTGCAGCATGTGTTGCATATGAAAAGCAGGTGAAGCATCCATCTTACCACCAAAGTCAACCTCTTGATGATTTTTACCCTACACTGCAGATGCCCCTGAATCCAGCCATCATCCCTTGCTCCATCTTCAAGGAAAAAAGAGTAATGGCTCTACAGAGATGGTGGCAAAATGACCATTTCCAAATGAAGAACTGGAGAAGGAAGGTTGAAATACTATCTGCCCAATTATCCTGCAGCTCTTCAAAAAATATTTAGATTAGAGCCCAAAGAAATGCAAAAAGGTTGGGGGGTTGCACAAAATGTGGTAGAAAGCATTCTACATTTGTTTGCTTTTTACTTCTGATGGAAATAATTGGAAATCAGAAATAGGACAAATCATCATATTAGGAGTATTCAGATTATGAACTTGTTTTCTGTTTGTTCAATATAGAAAAGTAAAAGATAAAAATGATAATAATCAGAAATGTCAAATGAGAGAAAACTATCTTAGATTTCCAGCTGGGGTTCTACAAAGGTTTTCATCACATTAGAAAGTAAATAAAGCAGAAGAGAGAGGAACTATCTGGTTAGTGTTGAAGCTAAGATGACTGTATTTAGTTGCACTCTGAAGAAGGAATGTGAAGGGAAAGGTTTCTGTCTGGAATCTGTTAGAAACATAACTACAGGTACTCCTCATTTATCAACTGCCTCATTTAATGACCATTCAAAGTTTTGATGGTGTAAAAAACACTTTTGCAAACAATCTTTGCATGTATGACTTCTCAGCATCTCATGGTCATATGATTGCCATCTGTGGTTCACAACCAGCTTCTAACAAGTAGAGTTAATTCAGGAAGCAGAAGTAAAATTGCAAGTTATGGTCATTGATAGTTTACTGAATGACCAAATGTGAAGTGACATAATTAGCCTATTATGGTCACATGATTTTTCAACTTAGTGACTGCAGGGCTTAACGATAGAGTTGTTGGTACCAACTGCGATTACTTAGTGACTCTGTTAGATATCCTGAAGGTTTTAGACAGAGCTTAGGACTATAGTGGGAATGAAGGGCAGCCTTTCTAGATTCAGCATCAGGAGCCATATTTGTTCACCCCATCACCACCACCACTGTTCATTTTACATCTGGTATGATGGAATCTTGTGTTCTATTTATTCCACATGTGTAAATATATTAGCATGTTGTAAGAAAAAGGAAAAAACAATCATATGGTCCTTTAAAAATTAACACATTTTAATATGGCAACAAAAGCTTACGCCTTCATAAATTTGGTATTTGAGGTATCTAGAGAAAACTTTTCTTTTTAACATTCTGACTGGGTTAATAAAGCTCCTGTGGAAATAATAAATATTTAAACTTTAATTAAGTCATTGTGATGTTATCTTCCAACAACTGCACAGAGAGTGCACAGTTCTGTCCCTTCGAAAAATTCCAAATTAGGAAACCTAACAGATCAAGACTCCTGTGTGTATTCCATCCTCTATCATAGTAGTTCTCCTATAGAAGAAAGTCTTTGGTTTTCCCTTTTCATTATTTTATTTAAGCTGATGCTTTGTCTCTCTGTTCTCCAACTGAATATTTTTCAAAAATATTTTTCCATTGCTGCTTAACTCCCTTTTCTTATTTATTTCCCTCTTTTTATTCCATCTCCCACTCTTTCCCTATTAAATGTGATGCCAGCATTGTAAGTAGAGAACTGCACCTGAATGCTAAAAGAATCTTGTAGACTTTTCTAACTACCTGCAGAGAAAGAGAGGGAGGGAGGAGGGGGAGAACCTTTATCAAAGCACAATTGGGATTATTATATGTGACAATCTGCTTTGTGCTCTATTCCAAGAGGCTGTGATCTGCTTATTAGGTATCTGTGACCAAGACTATTTAATGTGATGCTTGATTAAAGCTCTGCTCAGACAAAAAGGCTCTGATGTGTTAA